CTCTAGCCAGGCCAGCTCCACAGATCCACATGTGTTTTACTCATTTCCAATGGTTCTTTACCCCTCAAGCCTTATGTAACCTTTATTGCCTCTGGGGCTTTTAGGACCTTTTAGATCTCTTCTTTCCTGTTGCCACCAGTCACACGGACCTTGACCATTTGAACTGTGGGCAGCCAAGTTGAAGCTTTCTGTCAGTGTGAGTTACAAACTGGTTTAAAGGCTTAGTGCAGATTATAAATATCTCATTAGTGGGTTTTACTATTGATTATGTGGTAAAGGAACTAATTTGGCGATATTACTTAATCTAGGTCATATTGTAAGACTCATTTTACATTAAAAGCCCTTTCAGACTATTACAGAATTAAAATTATATATGGGCTTACCCAGTTGGAATGCTACTGGACAGCCCTATTTTAATCTATGACAGGGGCTCAGCTTTAATCACTTTAAATCGACACCATGAGTACTTTACTTCCTCTTCCTTCCACTGACACTCTCTGGGGTCAGATACTCAATTTTATGTACTCACTCATTCATTCATTTAGTGTCTCCGAGTCTGTGCCTTTAATCGCAGAACTCAGAAGGCAGAGGCAATCAGATATCTGTGAGTTCCGGACTAGTCTGGCATACATAGTGTGTTCCATTCCAGATAGGGCTACACACTAAGACTCAGTTTTTCTCCTTCTCTCTCTCTCACACACAAATTCAGTGAATGTACAATACGTGTTGCCTTGGTGTTTCTATTACTGTGATAAAATTTCATCACCAAAAGCAGCTTGTTGGGGAGGGAAGGTTATTTTTATCTTACACTTGTGGGGAAGTCAGGGCACGAACTCAACGCAGAAACCTGGAGGCAAGAACTGATACAGCGGTTATGGAGAGAGGCTGCTTACTGGCTTGCCCTCCATGGGCTGCTCCATGGAGCACGCAGGACCACCTGCCCAGAAGTAACGCCATTCACAATGGGAGGGGCCCTCTGCAGCAGTTACCTGCCAAGAACACTATGCCCATAGGACAATCTGGTGGGATAATTTTCTCAACCCTCTTCCAGAATGACTCTAGATGATATCAAGTTGACATAAATCTGGCCAGTGCACATGTGAAATAAAGTAGGAAGTGCTTTATCAGAAGAGGTCAGGACTCCTAAAAAAAAAAAAAAAAAAAAAAAAAAACGTGGCAGGAGTCACACAAAGTTAACTGGTTTTAATAGACATTAAAATGCTGAGGACAAGTGAGGATGGTGGTTCTCAACCTTCCTAACCTCAACCCTTTAGTACAGCTCCTCATGTTGTGGCGCCCCTCAACCATAAAATAATTCTTGTCGCTATTTCATAGCTGTACTCTTGCTACTGTTCTGAATTGTAACGTAAATAGTTTTGGAGGTAGAGATTTGCCAAAAGAGGGTTGTGACCCACAGGTCGAGAAACACTGAGCTGGAGGTTGGGAGTAGGTTTGCGGGGAGGATGGCTGCTTGAAGGCTCACTGCTTTTGCTTCAGAAAAATCCAGTTGAAAGAAAGTTATCCATCAAAGTTGGACAGTGTCAAGAGACCAAAGAAAGAGGAGAAAGCTGGGAATGTGCACAAGGACTTACACGTAGCAGCACACATGAGCACCCCTGGGACAGAGAATCTTTGCCCCGTGAAGCGTGAGGCAGTACTTCGCCATGATAACCAGACAAGGGTAGCCTGGAGTATGTCTGGGCTGTATCAAAAACTGCCAAATTGTCAAATGTCAGCTGTGAAACGGTTCAGGCACAGAATACCTGGCAGGCAGTACCGATAGCTTTGTTAATCGTATAAAGCTTGGAGGGCCATCAGGGTCATCTTCTGGGCAAATGGCAGTCACCACCAACGTGCTTACCTTCATGTCAACTTGGGAGAGAGACAGACATTCCTGTAGTGCTCGTTTTTACAACTCTGCTTTATTTGGGGGTGCTCAGGACTCAACTTCCCTTCCAACCTCCCAACATAGGAGAGAGAAGGATAATGGGGAGAGGGGGCCCAAAACCCTTTACTCCTCCCAGCTGTTTAGAATCCAGGGGTTCTTTTAGGGCTCTAGACCAATCTCCATCAACAGCAGACACAGCCAGCGGTCTCTTCCAAGCCGCTGCGCCCTGAAGTGTTTCTCACTGTCTGCTCTGGACCATCTCCCGGGTCTCCAAACTTCGTCTTGCCGCACACCGACACCACATCCCTCGCCACGCTTTTCTGTTTCAGCTCTCAATTTATAGCCTCAGAGACCTAGACCACGCCCCTCTCCACAGGCTGCGTGTGGAAGCCTGTTACCAGCTGGTGAAGGTCACTTGACAATTAACAGCACATGACAATTAACAGCTGTGGACAAACTATCACACAACTAAAATCCCACACCTGGGAATGAAAACAAAAACATCTTTACATAACATAACTGAATTTACAACGAATCCAAAACTCCCATTACACACTCCCCCGCCTCAGTTGGGTTACTCCTGCAGGCCTAGAACTACAAAAATACCTGAATTTTCTAGTGAAACTGGATTTTCCTGTGAACTTCACTTATTTTGCTATGTGTCTTGGTTTCAAACTTGTCCGTGGGCAGGTCGGTGGCTTGGACACAGCCTGAAAAATGCCTGCTTTTAATTTTTATGTTTTTGTCTAGAGGGCAAGACTATAGAAGAACAGAACAGCAGGGGTTATTAGCAGAAGGGTGATCAAGAACATAGGCGGATGTGTGGGCTTGCAGCGATTCAAAGGTCGATGTGAACTGTGTTTTATGGCTTGTTTGGTTGTGTGTGTGTGTGTGTGTGTGTGTGTGTGTGTGTGTGTGTAAATTTTCAAGATTTAGGTATCTAAGGAAAAACTGGATGGAGTGGGCACATGAAGAAAGTTTTATTTGTGTTTGTCTTTTTGGAAGTATGAAGCTGTCAACTTAATGTAAAGGAGACAAAAAAAAATGTCTCGTACCCAGGTCTCTACTTGGGATTTAGGTAATGGCCAAAGAACTATTAATTTCTGATCGTTAAGAGCTCTTATGACCCAAGTATTTGCAGTTGGTCTTCCTACTGAGTGCTTTCACATACACAGAATGACAAGTTTTATGTGGTCTGCATATCGTGTTTTTTTTTTTTTAATGCTGTTTTAAATTGCCAATGCGCAGCCTCTGTGGATAGCAGTTCTGCTTTGAGATTTCATTTCTTTAAAATAATACAAAAGAATCCCATCTCAGAATAGGTCCTTGTTAATAATTGATTTTTTGTCATCCAATAAAGCTCAGTAGCCTGCGGTTGCAACATCAGAGTTAGCTGTTAAGGGGTGATTACTCCACTGAGCAAGAAAATAAGGGAAGACATGTAAAACTGTACTCCAATTTCACTTTTTTTGTTTTACCCATAAATCAAGTACCTGAAGTCAGTGTCTGTTTATAATGTTGCCTTTGAAAGTCACCTGTCATGGGGACGCCAACAATAGAGAACTTTTAAGAATACTTAAGTAAACAGAGAAAAGGAACCTGCTTTAAGATGAACCAAATAGTTTGGTGTTCCCTTTTGTCAGGGAAAGCATACGTTTGATTATTTATTTGTTTTTAAATTGGTTCTTTGTGAATTTCACATCATGCACTCCAATCCCACTCATCTCCCCCTCCCCTCATGCCCACCCTCTATCCTTACGAGCCTCCCCAAAGGAAAAAAAGAATCTCGTTGTGGAAGCTCTAGTGTGTCACAGTGTGTGCCACAGTATACCCTTTTGTCCACATATCTTTGCTTGCAAATGTTCATTGCAATGACTCTTTGGTCTGGCTCCTGCTACTCTGTCAGTGCTGGAACCTCACTGGGACTCCTCTCGGATATCCTGTTGTTGCCCTGTGTCATAGAGATCCTGTAGGTTTGAACCTGTAGGACCAGGCCCTTCACAAACTCAGGCAGTTCATCTATGGGGTAGATGTTGGGGTGGGCCAATTCCAAGCCCTGGATCTGGGCCTGAGAGGTATCTGAGCTGGACAGCCCGCCTGCCATCCCGCTGTCACGTTCCAGCTTACCAGCACCTCCTGCAACCAGGGCCGGCTCTCCCGCGAACCCAGGCGAGGTGCAGAGCCTGCTTTCTCTCTGGTGTTGCTCTCGTGACCCTGGGGCCAGCTCTCCTAGCTGCCAGGGATGGTGAGGTCTGAGGGCAGGGAGGAGGGCATCTCTCCCTGGTCCATGCCACCACCCAGCAGCCGGGAGGCAGGGCAGGCCGTCCTGTGTCACGCCCTCAGGGTGCCTCACCTGAAATTCCTGAATTGTGCTGGCGCCCACTCTCTCCTAAGTACTCTAGCTGGCTAGGGATGGGGTCAGCTCTCCTGCCGTCAGGTCCCTCAGGGCCAGGTCTCCTAGGATGCCCAGGTGAGTCGTGGAGCCAGTTCTGTACAGCCCTGGATATCAACCATGCCCTGGGGCTGCAGCCCTGACCAGGGATGTCTGCCTGGCCTTTGGTGGTAACGGATTCCTACTGCTGCAGGGCCATGGGCCCAGGTGGCGCAACTGGCTCCTCACACCAGGCTATTCTTCCCTACCCTCGTGTCTCCAGTCTGCCCCTCTTCATTGTGCCCACATCCTCCTGTTTCTCTTCCTCTTCCATTTCTCCACCACTTACTTGATCCACTTAGTGGTACCTGGAGTCTCTGGATGTCTGGAGTTGTCTCAAGAGTGGTCTCAGAAGTGCTATGCCTGGCTTGGGCATTGTGGCTCCAGACAGGGGTCATTTCAGGCATGGTCTGCCCCTCCCCCAGGCCTGTGCGGCACCAGACTGGTGATCATCTCAAGCTAGCTCACTGTCCGGGCTCCATGGCACCAGTCTGGTCATCTTAGGCTTGCTTCTTCCCCAGCCCGCCCAAGTGGCCCCTTGTGAGGGTCATCTGTCTTGGGCTCACTCTCTGTGTAAGGCTGTGGTCCCATGTGGCTCACTCCCCATCCTGGGAGATGGTCTGGGCATGGCTGGTGTCAGACTGGCAGTCATCTCAGGCCCCCTTTTCTTTCTTTTCAGGAAATGTGAGGCTACTAACCATTCAGATGATCACAGGTCAGAACACGTGAGTGTAGACACGGCCCCTCTCCTCCTTGCTACCTTTGGACACACTTGTCACAAGGCAGCCACCTCTGCAATGCCTCTAGGGACAGGAAGCATACGTTTATTCAGAGCGGTGGCACACACCTGTGATCCCAGCACTTGGGAGACAGAGGTAGGCTGATCTCTATGAGTTCAAGGCCAGCCTGGTCTACAGAGCCAGTTCCAGGACAGACAAGGCTACACAGAGAAACCCTGTCTCGAAGAACAAAACAAATAACAAAACAAATAACAAAAAACAAAAAAGGTGAAGAACTGTTGTGAAGAAATCTGAAATGTGTGTTAGATTACTTGAATATCGATAGGTTGGAAACTCCCTCCCATTTGCAGAGAGGCCTTTGCTTTGGTCCCCGCTGTGTTTTTTGGGCTTCAGTTTCCCCACTTGCAAAGCAGTCCTTACAGTCACATCTGCCTCTTACATACACTTAAATGCTGGTGTGGAAGACAGTGGCCCTTTGACAATGTGCTCTCAGAAATGGACACACTGGTGTGGATTTTATGTTTGCAGCATGAGAATGTGGTAAATGTTGGAGAAGAATAGCCTGTACTATTCTTCTTCTTCCTCTTCCTCTTCCTCCTCTTCTTCTTCTATTATTATTATTATTATTATTATTATTATTATTATTATTATTAAGCATCTTATTGTTCAAAAGATCAAAGAGCAGATGTTATTACTCAGTTCTAAAAATTTTTATTAACATTGGAAATGCTGCACAAATTAAAGTGATCGTACACCGATTGCCTATTTGCATAAATGGTGAAATAATGTCACCATAGAAATCTTTTCATAAGAAACCACACAGGGTTCTACACACCAAGAAAAAAGCTGCACAAATTTCCAGAGTGTCTTTCAGTTCTGTTCCAAATGTATCTGACTTTTGTTCAGAGTTTCTCTCACAAGGAACAATATTGTTCCTTTTAGCTGCCATGCCATCTTGCTTGAAATGGACCCCTGTGACAAAAACCATACTAACTTGGGAGGAACCAGCCATTTGTGAACATGTGTGGGTCACCCCAAGATACAATATCTTGCCTGGGGGAGGTTCAACTTAATGATGGCTTGAAGACAGTTTGCTTCCATCAGAATCATAACAGATTTAGAACTTTGACCTTTGCTCGGGTTAGTAATATGTGGCACAATAGGACCTTGTGGTGGGCGGTGGCCACGGCTCCACTTGGTGACAGATAGAGGAGAAACCAGCTCAATTGCTAGGATGGGGAGGTTAGGGGTTTTCTGCTACTTTTAGGGCAGAGGTCTTGATGGGAAAGGACTTCTTAGTATGAGCTAGTTCTGGAGAGATGGCTCAGCAGTCAAGAAGCTTGCCACTTTTCCAGAGGACCCCAAGTTTGGTTCCCAGCATCCATGTTAAGCAGCTCACAGTGTAACTTCAACTCAAAGGGATATGACCCCTCTTCTAGACCCATGGACACCATACACAGGTGGAATACACTCATATAGACCCATACTTTTTTGTTTTTATTTTCTGAGGCAAGGTTTCTCTGTGTAGCCCTCGTTGTCCTGGAACCCATTTTTTTTTAGACCAGGCTGGCCTTGAATTCAGAGATCTGCCTGCCTTTGCCTCCTGAGTACTGGGACTAAAGGCGTGCGCCACCACCATCCAGCCAACACATAATTTTTAAAAAAAAAACATATTTAACTACATTATATACATATATAAAATGCCATAATGTTGTGTAGCCCCTTCCTCCAAGATCGAAACACTCCTTTCTGCATGGAAGCTCCTTAAATAAGAAGGTAAACAACTCTAAATAGCTTCAGGAAGTCCCTGAAACTGAGCAGATTCCCTAGGTCCTTTTCTCTAAAGCTTAACAAAGTAAAGACTGCAGAGAATCATATTCAGGCAAGTCAAGCTGCAAAGAAGACTGAGACCAGACCAGTGTCCTAGACCGAACAGAAACTGGCTGATCACTTTGAATGGATTTAGCCCAACTGAGGTGCCTGGAAAGGCCACTTTCCAACCTGTTGAGCTGATTGTATGTAGGCTGTGCAATGTGCTCCAGGTTCCCAGCTTTCATGAGCTGTCACTGATGCTGGGTGGGCTTTGGTGACACAGCTGTCTTTGAGTCATTTCTGCTCCTGTAAGTAACCCCTCACCCTTATTCCTGTAAGTAACTACAATAAAACTCATTGGTTTAGCAAGCTGAACTTTAGTGGTAGCTGTAGTTTGTTTTACTATGGGTTCCCTTTTTGGGGTGAGCAATCATGTGTTTGTGCCTCTCTGACTGTAGCTGGTACCCACTGCTCAGCCTTTCTCTGTTTCTTCCCCTACTCCACCCTAAGCTTCCCTGACCTCAGCTCTCATAATTCATGTGAAAGGTTTTTTTTTTTTTTTCTTCAGTATTTGTACCAGACCTTAGGGTTAGGGATGCTGCTGCTCAATTGGATGAATTAAGTGCAATGGGTTTAATTGGACCCTAACATAGCAGGGACCAGGTGGCAGCACTGAATCACCCGAAGAAGGTTATCATGTAGTTATTGTGACGGGCAGCACAGGAAAGCAATGTCCACAATGGCCTGACCTCTAATGGACAGGCCAGGCAAAGTGATTTTTATGACGGCATGACTGGTATGGAACTTTGGTGCTGGCTAATCAATCATGGTGTTTCTAAGCATAAAATAGATAAGAAGCCTTTTGCATTTTTGTTTGATATGTATAAGCGAAAAAGCAAAAAACACCTCAAACAAATGAAAGAAAGCCTACATTGGATCATGGAAAAAAGGAATCTCAGCCAGTGAACCAATTTCCAGACTTGGGCCAGTTTGCAGACCCAGAACCCCTTGAATAAAACATTCATTCTCTGAGTCCTATAAGTTCTGTTCTTCTAGAGAACCCTAAGTAATACAGTCACCTAGAGCTATTTTTAAGCTTTTTGTGAAACCTTCATGCTGGCCTCTGTAGTAGAGGTTTCTACCAACATGTATATGTTCCCATGATCCATCTCCTACCTGGAACTTTCTGTCTTTAGTCTTTTTATTATTAACCATTCTTGCTGGGAGTGAAACCATGGCTTATTGTGACTTTAACTGGTTTTCCCTGATAATTGCAATGTTGCTCATTTCTTCATGTAAAATCATATCTGTATCTATGTTTACACACACACACACACACACACACAAAATGCTTTCTCCTTACTCCTTCACCCCTCCACTCCATGGCAACCCATTGCCCATTGAGTTATTTGCCATGGAGGTTTTGGAGTTCTTATTATGTATTCTGGGTGCCAACTCTTGTTAGATGTATGCACTGTAAATATTTGTTTCCTTCTTATAGCTCTTTCTGTACTCTGTTCCATGCTTTCTTTTGCTATGCAGAAGCTTTTGAGTTTCATGAAATCTTGCCTGCTTTTCACCTCACTTTCTGTGTTTCCTGTGTTTTGTTCAATAAATACTTGTGTATTCCAATGTTTAGAAGTATCTTACCTGTTTTCTTCACATAAGTTTAGGCTTACATTTTGAGTTGACCTTTGTAGCTGGTGAGAAAAGTCCAGTCACATTCTTCTGCATGTGGACATTCAATTTTCTCAGTGGTATTTGCTGAAGACTTTCCTTTCTCCAATGTGTGTCCTTAGCACATTTGTAAAGAATAACTTAGTTATAGGTGTGTGGGCTTATGTCTAGGTTTTCTGTTCTGTCCCATTAGCTCGTGTGTGTGCCAGTGTAATATATTTTATTAATGTAGATTTATAGCATGTTTTGAAGTCAGATAATGTCTTAGTTACTTTTCTGATGCTGTGGAGAGCTACCATAACCACAGCAACTTATAAAAGAAAACATTTAGTTGGAGTCTTGCTTATAGTTTCAGGGGGTTAGTCCATGATCATCACGGTAAGGAGCATGGTAGCAGGCAGGCAGGCAGGCAGTGCACGGGAGCAGTAACTTAGAGCTCACATCTAATCCATAATTTACTGCACAGAGAGAGTGGGGGAATGGCATAAGCTTTTGAAACCTCAAAAGCAACCCCTGATAGGAAACCTCCACAATGGGAGTCAGCAACACCCCTGCATAGCCCTTCTGCAACAAGGCCACGCCTCCTAATCCTCCCTAGTCAGTCCACCAACTGGGAACCAAACATTCAAATGCATGAGCCAATGGGGCCATTCTCAATCAACCCACCACAGGTCACATAGGCTCCTTACACTTGAGTGTTGTTAATCAAAATGTCTTTGGCTTCTTGGGGCTTTTTGTGGGTTTCATATAAGCTTTAGAGTTGTTTTATATAGTTCTCTGAATAAGTATTTCCATTAGCATTTTGAATAGATTTCATTGAACCTGCCAATCACTTGAAGCTAATTTATGTGGCTATTTTAACAGTATTGATTTTCCCAATTCGAAAACATGAGATGTTTACCATGTCTTTCTTTTTTCAATTTCTTTTCACCAGGGTTTTTTAATTGTCTATTTTAGAAATCTATTTGGTTAAATTCATCGGTGGGTTAATTTTTTGGTAGCTATTGTAAATGGGATTGCTTCCTTGATTTCTATTTCAGGTAGTTTTCTATTGGTAGGTGCCAATGCTATTTGCTTTTGTATTCTGGTTTTATATCTTATAATGTTACTAAACTCATTTATTGGTTCTAATAATTGTGGCAGAGTTTTTAATTTAGAAGATTATGTCAGTTTCACATAGTAGTAACAACTAGACTCCTCTTTTCATTTGGTTACTCTTTATTTCTTTTTCTGGCTTAGATTCTCTGGCTTGGCCTTCCAACGCCATTTTGGATAAAAGAAGGAATTTAGGCATCCTGTCTTATTCCAGACTTTCAAAAGGAAAGTTTCCAGCTTTTCTCATTAAACACAATTTTAGCTTTTGGCTTAGTATGAATGACTCTTATAGTAAGAGTCATTGGGCTAAAATACAGTCCTTGTATGCTTAATTTCTTTTGTAGGTTTTTAAAAAATTATGCAGAGTTCAATTCTGTAGAAAGCTTTTTTATGTAGCGATTAAGATGAACATGTTTTTTGCCCTTCATTCTGTTGATCTAATGTATGATGCGTTAGTTTGTGTACATTGAACCATCCCTGTATTCCTGGG